CACTATACGAAACACACAGTCATTAAGCTACTATTTTACATTGATATTCTGTGAGAGCGTGGTCAAGGATTGGGAGTTTGGCGTCAGGTTTAGTTTGCTATAAGCTCCCATAGTGATTACACGCATCTGATTTAAATTTTATATTCAAGCTTTGTAGGGTGGATGCCCCAATTACCAGCCATTTAGTGCCAATTTCAACTTTAAACATTCCTACTACTTTAATTAGCACGATTCAATTATTTTTAAACATTTGTTTTAATCGATAAGCTATTTATAAAAAAAATGATGAACATTTATTTACAATCAGATTATTACGAGAACAATTTTAAAATGAAAAAAAAAATGAAGCACGTCGTTTATACGTGGTAGAACCATGCAGTTATATTAGAAGTATATTTGTACCACGAAGGTCGGCTCGAATGGGGAAGGACCACGCTCTCACAGAATATCAGCGTAAAATAGTAGCTTAATGATGCTGGTTTTCGTGTAGTGAGTGTAGAGAATCAGAGACCTTTTTTAAAGGAAACGAGGCATTTCATCTTAGTCCTCACGGGTGACAACGCATCTGCATTTTAATTCGTAATCGAGGATAGATGTAGATGTCTGTTGGCCACAGCAACCAGTTATCATCAGGTTAACTCGTTTGTCACACTATCCTATAAAAAAAACGTCGATTTCTTATAATTTAATCGTGCAAATTTTCGAATAATCATGATCATTACAGCTGTTCACAAGTCCACTACTGAACATCATCCTCCACAGACAGCCACAAAGCATGGTCCTGAGCCACTTTGCTCGTCATGAGTTTTTCATTTATGTTCTAAGTTATAATTAGTACATATTATTAAGTCAGTGTTAATTATATTTATTGCTATTGTTTTTGTCTTTCTCAAAAAATAATTAAATTACCAAATAAATTATAAGGTGTTTTTTATATACATCAAATGTCTGATAGAAATGCATGTACATATTCTGCTAAACTTTAAAATCAAAACCCAATTTTAAAACATAGACTAATCGATTATAACTCCTTTAACTTTAAAATAAGTTAAGTTCTTATTAATGGTATTTATTCCAGTTTCTGATGCATGTAAAGAATAAATAAAGCTAATCGTATATCTATTTACAGCCCTTAATATTCACTATTCTTTTACAATTATTTTATAAAAACGTTACACCCACACTTGGATTTTCTCCTGTATCGCGGAGGCAACTTACATGTAAAGAATAAATAAAGCTAATCGTATATCTATTTACAGTCCCATTAATATTCACTATTATTTTATAATTCTTTTATAAAAACGTTAACCCCACACTAGGATTTTCTCCCGTATCGCGCAGGCAGTTTACAAACATAAACTGCACAAGGACACACATCCAGACCCGAAACAATTATTTGTATGATATACAAATACTTGTTCCGTGTGGGATCAAACCCGCGGCGCCCGGCGCAGCCATTTATTGCTGAGCCACTGCACCACGGTACTTATAAATTCGTCAGCACATTGGCCCGAATCAAAGTAAACTGAACGACCTCCCAACGTGTGGACGCCGTCACCAACTCTCGGCCAATATATTCGACTCCATTCGCCAATGTGTTGGCCAACGTGTAGAGGCGACATAAAACAAACATGGATCTCGCGCCAACTTGTGGGACATCGTTCCAATACATACCAATGAAGCCCAAACACCCCGTCTACACGTTGGCCAATGCTATTGGCCACTACATTCGCCACTATGTTGGCCAACGTGTAGAGGCGCCGTAACTTCGCTTTAGTTCGGCAGACTTCGGCTCGGTGTTTGTGTGCGTGCGACTAGACGTATGCGTGTAGAATAGCTGCTGTAACTTGAATTAATATAGAAGAAAAAAACAAATAAAAAAATACTACATAAATAAATAATTAGAATTGCATAAGTTGACAAAAATATTATGCAATAGCTTTACCGCAGCAGTCCCCGAGTGCCACACGTATTTTTTTAAAAAATTTTCATAGAAAAGTAACTCTAAATATAAGTTTTATGGGTTAAAGTGCTGTGGGTGGGTGCGGTCTAATTTGACCACTTGAATTTTGACAGAATATCGAAGCGGTCAAATTTGGCTGCTTGTTGTTTGAGAGGTTAAGCAATATTCAACACAAACTGAAGTCCTCATTCTGAATTCTGTCATCATTTCAGTCCCATCTTTTACAATTCCTTTTTAAAAAATCTGAATGATATCAGGCAGGTGATCGTCCATATGAATCAGAATATTGACCGATGTCTTTCGTATCGATATATAAAGCTATGCAATGTAAGCCCGGTTTTTCATCTGTATCCAAATTGAATATTATTTACATTGGTACGTGGGTGTACATGGGAAGTATATTGGCAGCACAAACATTATTTTATAAACTGGGATGAATCTTTTTCAGGTTGTATTAATGTTTGTTACAAGAAGAAAAACTGAACTAAAGAAATACAAGAAGAAAAATTTAATTAAAGAAAACACAAAACTAACACTTATTTTATTATTTACAGTATTGCAGGAGTTAAATATTCTAACACTATTGCATAACTAATGGGAGCTTGAGGGATCGTCTTTCTTGCTTGTTCTTTTCTTGAACGCTTATGCCAAGCATAGAAAATCCCGTCAGAAGCGCTTCTTTTATAGCCGCTTTCGCCGCGGGGTGCGGGAGAAGTATCGAAGCGGGTGCAGTGCGGAGTGTCAGGCGGTTGCTCTTTCGCCGTCTGTAACACAAATGTTGTTGCACATCAAGTGTATCCATGACATTAATGCTATTAGTTTTTTATATTACCAATCTATTCAAAAGTTAACATAAGAATGATCAATTATAGTAATTTGTAAATACTAAATCGCATTATTTTTGTGATGATTTGTAGGAGTCATCGGTTTAGGTAAAGTCGCAACACGAAAAAATGCGAGGTAAGCTTACTCATAATGTTACGATCAGTTTCACTGCGGAAACTCAAACAGTGTTTTGTATAAGATTAAATAGGGGCTTTATAAAGAAATAAAATATAATATATTGCATACAATTTGTTTTATTTAATTTTATAATGTTTCACATAGTTACATACACACAAAACGCATTACGTATAAAACATAAATCTAACATACAACACACATTATAACCTTAACTAATATAGTCTACAGTAACATTTCTGTTTTTATCTATTTCAATAATATTATCAAACTCAGCATAAACTATACCGTTAATTATTTGTATTATTGAGAATTCAAATCGTAGAAGTACGATCTTACACTATCATTATGAGATTCCAACGACGTTTGGCGTACTGTTTACAAGAGATTCCATTTCCTTCATTAAGAAAGTGAATACCAGTTTCCTAAAATAGAGTATAATATGCTGATGTAAATATACTATTATTAAAAGATAGTTGCAAATCTTTTGAATGTATTTGTTGACCATCAATATATAAGCTGAAATAATTAATACCATAGTTTTCAAAGTTAAGTGGATTTTTATTAAGGGATCATCTTCGGGTACCTATCCTAATAAAATATTATCAAGAGTTTTTCCTTGAATACCCGATGGAATTGTTAAAACTATTACTTCAGCTCGAGTAATAGGATACTTAGCAGGGGTAGAAGCTAAAACTTTTTGATTCTAATAATATACTTGGATTAATTTGTGCTCGTCGGACAATAAGAGCTGCGTTCATAATGCAAACTTTAAACTTTGAATCGTTTGATCCAGCCATTAAATTAAACCTCCCTCTTGATCGAACTCATTTTACACTCATTTCAACACCATGATGTCTAATCATTTCTATTTCCTTACTTTCACGTTCATCACGTTCGTTTTTCCTGGTTTATTCTTATACCAAAGACTACAAGTAAGATGAGATTGTTTAGCAGCCGGAGCATAGTTTAAAATAGTTTCCATGCTCGATATGCAAAGGTATTATTAGGTGGTGATACAAGACCAAAAAGTGAATGCAGCCAATTATTTAGTAGATCAATCTGTTTTATATAATTTTAGCAATATATATTAGTTGTTTACAGCAACACTTTCATTTTTTATTTCACCCCTTAGAACTTTAGATGTGTGTAATGTTGCCTTTAGCCATCCGTTTACTGCTATTGTAACAGGACCAAATAGATGTGGGAAGTCAAATTTTGTAACAAATTTCATAAACTCAGTTACAGAAATATGTAATTATTATTTTGAAAAACGGACCGCAGATTCTAGATCAAGGCATGCCAAAACTTTTGTCTTTTATGATCCGTCAATCCACCGTCAGCCAACGAGGGCTGGTATGTACGCTCACTGAGCTAGAACTGGTATAAACACACTACTTATAAACATATTATGGTTGTAACACGAATTGGTCGGCTCAAATAGGGAAGCATCACGCTCTAACAGAATACCAGCTTAAAATAGATATTGAAAGCTACTACTAGTAAATCGGTCAATCAGACAAACAAACGAAAGAACAAATAAACGGACCCACAAACGAACCAAGAAACGAATAGGGCAAACTGTATGCTTATGCTTTATTGTATAATTATTTATAAATATTTACTTATGTAAACAACAAAATCACCGCGATAACATAATCCCTAATTTTTTTAGTTTGTGCCGCGCCTACGTGGAATACGTTCGTGTGTCTAGTTGCTACAAATTCTGTTATCAAAATTCGTTCTTAAAAATTTGTGATTGGCCAATTTATCAAGTTTCAATTCCTTATTACTCTAGTGCAGTATATATGGACTAACTCCGTCCAGTGGGAGTTTTTAGAGTGAAATAGTACATGTTTGCGCAGTTCCTAAGTCGAAAAAGTGATAACTTGAGGGTACTTACATTCGAGAGTCTCGAACCCCGTTCGTTTTGATCGTGAATAACCGCTGTACTAAACGCGCTAAAGAGTTGTTTAAGCGTACTACAAAATTACGCTCGACTTCGTGCTCACTACTGACGTCATCGACATTCATAACTTCGTTTAATTTGAACTCCTTATAAAATATTAACGCTAGAATGTCGAAGTGTGCTGCTTGCGGGAAATTTGTGAGTCCAGCTGATATTATTAAATGTAGCAGTTGTGCTAATATTTATGACAGAATATGTTTAAAGTTATCCAAAAGTTATAAAGTATCTCCAAAATGGCTTTGTCCGGGCTGTACTTCTAAACAACCACGAAAAGATAATACGGAGACTTCGATTAAGGTGCAAACAGAAAGAAGCCAGAGTAGTTCCTCGAACTCATCACCTTCTAGTTGCTGTGGCTGTGATGCTACAAGTAAGATGATAGAGGAGTTACGTACGGAAATTGTCGCTATGCGCAATGAATTTGTAAACTTTGGAATAAAGTTCGACAGGCTTTACCTTGCCGTCAGCGACTTAAGTAAGCGAGTTGATGGAATAAAGAATCGGGTGGCTAATCTCGAAAAAGACGAATGCATGGAATAATATAAGTATGAGAACAAAAAGCTAAGCGACACATTGGAGCGTCTTAAGTTCGAGTTGAACGATCGTGATCAGGAACAGCTCCTTACTGATGTAGAAATAAGTTGTATACCTGAGCATAAAGGTGAGAACGTGACTCAATTTGTTATGCTTATTGGTGAAAAATTAAATGTGAAAATTGAAGAACAGGACATTGTAAGCATCCAGCGAATGGGTCCACTGCGAGGTTATATAGAAGGAGAAGGCGCTGTTCAGCCACGACCATTTGCTGTGCGCTTGGCGCGCCGAACGCTGCGCGACCGTCTGTTACAAAGCGCGCGTGTCCGTCACGGTGCCGATACTACAGGTTTTGGCCTGCCGGGTTCGCCGAAGAAGTTCTATATAAATGAGCGTCTTACCTGTATAAATCGCCAGTTATTCTTCAAGGCCCGTCAAATGGGCTCTAAGAGCGGTTGGAATTATGTGTGGACACGAGAAGGTCGCATTTTTACGCGCGACGAGATCAGAACACGGAGGCACGCCGAATAAGATGTGAAATCGATCTTGTCAAGTTTTTTGGCGAACCGGTGGTTGGCTAAACTTGAAGCTTTTGCTTTTCTGTTGTTTTTTAAACTGTTTGTTGAACCTATTTTTTAAACTATTGGTGCTTGCATATTTAACAAAATTTTTGAAAATGATTTTTAGATTAATATGTCTATGCCCTACTCGTTTTGTCGTGTATCCGCTTATGTCGTTTAATAATACTGTACTACACTTTTTAACATTATTGAACAAATTATTTGTAAGTGCTGTGACGCTGATGATACATAATGCATATTATTTTGTATATACGTATATTATACATGTTATACGTTTCATATTTTCCGTTTTAAAATGCTCTCTTTATTTTTGCCCATATTTTATAATATTCTATATTATCATAATAACTTATGTCATAAACAACTATTTAATTTATTACACAGCACCGATATTCAATTACACTAACTATATAAATTATGATATTCTACTTTTCAGAAAAATATTAGATAAGACGAAATTTGATTTGTTATACGGTTATAGCTATAGCTACGGTACTGCCCTGTTTGTGTATATGTGTGTATGTGAGTGTGTTTGTATAATTATGCGTATGTATGTTTATATGCATATACTGAAGTTGCTCGTGTCCCTGTGTTCAGATATATATTATATATATTATACTCTCTGTGCAAAATGGCGCCTAAAAATCAAACGCTGAAGGTTGGTTTTTTAAATCTGGGTTCTTTGGGTACAAGGCATGAAGACTTCATTGTGGCAATGGTGCAGCATGATGTAGATATCATGGCTATAAACGAGACCTGGCTACGTGATGGAGAACAAGGTCGCGCGCCATCTATCCCCGGTTACCGCTTGCGTCATATTCCACGTTCAAGTACCACGCGCGCACGTGGTGGTGGGGTTGGATTCTATGTACGTCATGGACTCGCCGTAAAAACGTGTGTATTTCCTGCCGCAACATCAGTTGAACAAATGTGGCTTAATTTAACTGTTAATGGCATAAATCTGATAATAGGTACTGCTTATAGACGAGCATGGCTTGACGTAGACATATTTTTGACGCACTTACTGATTCAGTATCATCTTTTGCCCATCGCGATAATATTGTGCTCTTGGGTGACTTTAATATAAATTTACTGGTAACTGACAACAATACTCATAAATTTGTCAATTTTACAAAATACCTAAATTTAACCCAATATGTAAATGAACCTACACACTTTACTCCTTACAGTGCTACATTAATTGATTTAATATGCACCGACCTACCAATCTCTAACGTAACCGTCGACTACATACCAACTCTAAGTAATCATGCTTTCTTAACATGTAACTTTAAAATCAATAAGCCAAAATGTCAACCAATTCAGTTCAAGTATCGCCCAGTGAAAGACATAAATCGTGATAGTTTTGATTTCGAAATAGAAAGGATCGACTGGGATTCTATAGCCCAATTACCTCATGTAAATGATATGGTTTCTCAATTCAATTTAACATTGTTAAGCCTGTTTGACCAATTCGCGCCACTAAAGCTCAAGCAAGTAAAAGAGCGTACATATCCATGGATTACCTTTACTATTCGAGAAATGATAAAACTGCGGAATGAAGTACATAATCGTTTTCGCTTAACCCTTTATAAGGCATAAGCATCTAGGGGTGGATAAGTAAAACTGTTGATGGTTTTAGACTATTTTTATTATGGTTTTTCACAAAACGCAAATAAGAAATTCAAAAATTTAAAAAAACACGGTGGTAAATATTTTCCCGCTGCCCGTGACGCCTTAACTAGCCTTTCCTATGAAATGCAGTAAAACATGGTGTTATGCAGAGCGGAACTTTGCATTTTTCACATATAACTTTCGATCTTTTGTCTTTTTCTTTTGTGCTACACATTCTGCAACGTTTATATGAAGGCGATTCAACGGGCATATGGTCTCCAACGTTGGTGAAACGAACTTCCTCTGCGACAACATGCACTGCCTTTTGGCGATTCTCAGAAGCAATTTTTTTTTCTGCAGATATAGTTGACTAAACTACCAGATCGTCGTTTTCTACTGGAAAACCCACTGATCAGTCCTCTAGCGACAGAGACTCGAAATTCAAGATTGCTTAGTTTTGTCGCATTCTTATTTTGGCAATATAACAAGTATGCATTTGTTATACTTGTATCTAAAAGGAAAAAGAATATTCGGACCCACCATCTCCTACTTCTTCTGCCTACTGAATAGGTACTTTTTATCTGATCAAAGTGATCAACGCCTCCCATCCTTTTAGTATACTCCTTTATTGCTAACGGGCAGTTGATTTCTTGTTTTGTGCCGTCTTTCTGAGTCCGTAAGACAGTGGTTTTGCCAACTTTTGGATGGAATGCATTACTCAATAGGAGAACCTCTTTGGTATCTTGCCAAACTAAGAAAGATACATTTCCCTTGACTCTCCATTTATATTGTCCTTTTGCAAGCTTCTGATTCGTTTTTACAAGTACAGGCAGATGTTTTCTGTGTCTTCGTACAGTTCCTGTAGCATAAATGCCATTTTCATATAGATATTGCATTAGAGTGTAGTCACAGAAGAAATTGTCAAATGTAATAATAATATGATATTCCTCCAGTGCTTTATTTATCAGCTTTTCAGTCAACATCTTCACAACTTTGGATCCTAGTCCTTCCTCTGTTCCGGTTTTTGATTTTCCAGTGTATATGTAGAATTCATAGAGATACCCAGTTTTACTGTCACAGCGACACCATACCTTGTAACCTCTTTTTATGGGCTTTAGAGGCATATACTGTTTCATGGAAGACCGGCCTTTGAAGAGAGTCATCGATTCATCAATACTTTGGGATGAGGAGTCTTTGGCATTTTTCTGACATGCCTGAGTGGTAAGATCCAATAATGGGCGTATTTTGTAAAGTTTGTCATAGTTCTCGCTTGTCTTATCTGGTATCTGTGTATTATCATTCACGTGCAGATTTCGCAATATCTTCTTGAATCGCTTTACGGTCATAGTCTCTGCTATTTCATCTACCCTGAAACCAGGGTCGGAAGACCAATAAAGGTCAATAGAAGGCAGAATATTGTATCCCATTATTATAAAAATCCCTACAAAGGCCTTCAGTTCTTTTTTTATCTAATTGTGTCCATCCTTCATCTTTCCTTTGCTCTGCATATAAGTTTGTTTGATATATTATCAAATCGTAGACTTCATCAGTGAAGAATTTTTCAAATACAGTTACAGGTCTAGTACGGCTGCTAAACATAATTGCCGGTTCCATCGGAATTTCATCGTAAACGCTAGGACTTGGCCGATCAGTTGTCCACATAGTTTTTTTCCATGTTTCCTCTTCGCCGTCTGAATCATCTGTTTCCGAATCTGAGTTAGTATTTGCTACTGGTGATTGTGGTTGTCGCCGTAAGGTCTGTTGAGTGCCAGAAGTACTGGGTGCATTTTGGATTATTCTTGCCCGCCTAAGCCGGTCACTGTTGGTTGGTTGAGGTGATGGACTAGGTTGGTTTTCAACAGACGCATTACTTATATTACTAATAAGACTATCAGGTGGATCAGGTGTGGGTGCTAGAATTCCATCATGAGGCTCATCAAGGCTCTCTAAAATTCTTTGAAGTTTCACTGTACTGTACTGCACATCTTCTTCATCGGATTCCAAATTATCATCTGACACATCGGGATCATCAGGTAAACCAAAAATCTCTTCTAATGCACAAGCTATTTCCAAGTCATTCAGTGTCTTTTCATTCATTTTCAAAATATAAATCTGTAACAACCAATACATACTGTCAGCTCCACGGGCAAAGGGAACATTTTTACCACCACAAAAAGCCCCTACTAACAAAATCTGCAAAATGTAGAATTGAAAATATGCTTGAATATCAATGAAATATACAATAAGCTTTAGAAATAATAACAACTTACCGTTCATGAGTCGCAGATATAAAAGATTTATAAAGATTTTAGAAGTCGTACCGAAACACACCCGATTTCAGTCTTCCAAACGTCACAGTGTAAAATCTAAAATGGCGACGTGTCATTACCATAGATGAAAAATGTTGACCGGATATCCATAAAAATGTTGCCAATAGGAAAAAATCTTTCCCTAAAATTTGCTTAACTAATAATGTGAAAATTAGTGGTGGGAAATATATTCCCGCTGCCTTAAAAAGGGTTAACTAGATTAGAGAAGCATAAAAGTTATTACAAAGAACTTAAGCATGCTGTAAACTCAGCGTTATACCGCGAAAAACAGGCCTATTTCAATCAACAATATAAAAATCACAATTTAACTAATTCTAAAGCTCTTTGGATCAATCTTAAACGGACAATAAACATATCAGAAAAATCTAGATACTATGTAATTCCTGACCAACTCAACGATCCGGATTTGATTAATTCTCACTTTTGCAATATACCTGGAAATGATTCAGCACCCGATTCAGAACATGTTTTCTTTGGCTCCCATCGATTTTGTTCTTCAACATTTAAGTTAAGTGTTGCAGACGAAAACACAGTAGCCAAAATAATTAATTCATTTAAGTCAAACGCTTTGGGCACTGACGGCATATGCCTGGATATGGTTATTTTAACACTTCCTTACACGCTAAAAGTAATCACCGCGATAGTTAACAGATCGATAACCACGTCTTATTTCCCTGACGTCTGGAAAACCGCTTTGGTTACACCAATTCCAAAAACCAATAGCATTATAAATTTCAAAGACCTGCGCCCTATCAGCATCCTACCCTGCTTGTCGAAAATACTGGAAAGAGTAGTATGTACATAGCTTGAAGCGTACTTGGAGAGTAATCACATACTACCAAACTGCAGTCTGGTTTTAGAAAGCATCACAGCACGACAACAGCACTATTAAACATAGTGGACAATATTTTAGCATCTCAAGATATAGGTGAAGGAACAATCATGACACTACTTGATTTCTCACGAGCTTTCGAGTCTCTTAACATCGAATTATTATTGTCCAAGCTTTCCTATTATGGATTCGATCCAACCGCAACCAAGTGGTTCTCCAGTTATATAAATGATCGCATGCAGTTGGTTAAAATAATTAAAAAAGATGGTACACATACTCTATCAAGTCCTTGTCATGTAACGAGAAGAGTTCTACAAGGATCCATACTAGGCCCTCTTTTATTCATACTGTATATAGCAGATATTAGTACAGCCATTCAGAACTGTAAATATCATATGTATGCAGACGATTTGCAGGTATATCTTTCCTTTGTACCAAGTCAAACTAACTGGGCTGTAAATAACTTAAATAGAGATCTAACGAAAATCGCCCAGTGGTGAGAAGCCAACACTCTTGTACTCAATCCAGCAAAATCAAAATACATAGTATTGGGATCAAAGCGACAGATAAATCGAATAGTTGCAAATAATCCTGATCTGTGTGTACTCGGGGAGAAGATAAATCGTGTGACTGAAGCTAAGAATCTGGGATTGCTTATGGATGACGCGCTTCGCTTTGAGAGACACGTGATCGAGATCGCACGTAATTGCTTTTACAGACTAAAAGTATTATACCGAATACGTGACTTTTTGAGTGAAGATCTGCGCATTAAGCTTTGCAACTCCCTTGTACTCTCCAGGCTAAACTATGCCGATACGGTATATGGACCAAGGCTACTTTCGAAAACTGACCGAATAATTCAGAGGATCCAAAATGCTTGTGCCAGGTATATACACCACATTCCCCTACCAACGCACGTCAGTCCCTATTTAAATAAATCAAAGTTATTAAGAATGTCCCAATTAAGAGAACTACATTTAGCAACACTAATGTTCGGTGTCTTTCAAAACAAAAAGCCCGGGTATCTATTAGAAAAACTAAAATGGCGCAAGGACGGTAATTTTAAGGACATTCGAACAAAATCAAATGTCCTTTCAATACCAAAACACACAACGGCAGCATTCCGTTGTAGTTTCCGATATGCAGCTACTAAATGCTGGAACAACTTGCCCTCACCTATCCGCCAACTAAATACCATCAGCCTTTTCAAGGTAAAAGTAAAAGAATATTTTTGTCACGTTAACATTTAGGGCGGATAAAATAGCTGCATTATATTTTCATAGTATAATATAAATATCTATATTGTTTTATTGTAAATTCTCATTGTATTATTTATTATATACATTTATATATACCTACTGCATAAATAAAGTTCCCATCCTTTTTCATTACCATTATTTTATTTTATTATTTTGATAACATCTTTCTCGAAAATAGAAATAAAGCGAAGATACTATCCTCGCAGGCGAGTCCAACCTCAATGGGCATTGCTGAAAACCAACGCTACCGCAATCCTGCAATAGCATTATGTTGAGTCAGTGCCCTTTTCAGAATCACGTCACTCATGCAATTGGATCATTTTATGACTGTTTTTTGTTTTTTACTTTTATCTTTGATGTTTTTATATATTATTTTATTTTCTGTATCAAAACTGTATGAATGTAAGTTGCTGAATAAATACATGTCTATGTCTATGTCTATGTCTAATTTTCTCCCGAATTTCTCTAGTAGTCAATAGATACTTGATTTTCTCACAACAACTAAGATATTGCCCTAAATAAGCACACACCATCAGTAATTATTGATTAAAAATAATAAAAATGAAAACTACAATCTAACGCCTACCTAAAACTAAGTACCTACCCTAACAAAATAAAAGAAATGCGTAAGTATCTATACTTCGTCTCAGCCTGCAAACAAATTAAAAATAAAACTAAACTCAACCTTGGAAAGTTTTTTAACCTTTTAGTAATAGGTATCACAGTGCTTAAAATCAGTTGGGTTTATCTATCAAGATCAAGAAATTCTCAGTAGCAGCCCGGAGTCAGTCTAATCTCACTATATTTTTGCCCGCTTACTAGCTCGGATACGATGATAAATAGACAACTTTAATGTTTTACATATAATGATCAATAGGGGCAGAGTTTTGTAAAGTTCTATAATACGTATAACTCCTTATTATCATAATTTCGTTTACGGATTTCCCCACCACCATGCAATTAAAAGCCATTTTTTCCGCGCACACCATGTGTACTAGTTTTAACACTACTCACAGTAGCTAACTGTGAAGGATGGTGGTGAGAATCACCGTTTAAATATCTACCTGTATGGGTCTTTTTTCTATACAGAGTATGGCTCAAGGTGTTTTCAGGATTCCGAATTACTAACACATCTACAAAAGCTAAAGAATTGTTTGCCTCTAACTCCATTGTGAACGAATTTTGGAATTTATAGAGTTAAGATGGTCTAAAACGCAGTTACTTTATCTAATGGTAGAATTGTGAAAGTGTCGTCTACGTACCGCTTGTAGAATCTTGGATTTATGGGAGAAGTAAGCAGGGCTTTCTCCTTAAAGTCTTCCATGGATATGTCGAGGACAATGGGAGATACAGGTGAGCCCATCATCACACCATCTACTTGCTTGTAGAACTCCTCCTTCCACAATAGGTAGTCATATGTAAGGCAGTATCTGAGTAATACTGCATATTTTTTTCCAACTTTCTAGTTACAATTGAGATGCAATCTTCAGCAGTTTCATTGTCTGCCAGATGTGGGTCTTTAATCTCGCTGACAAAATGGTAGGAATTCTTTATATGTGCTCTTGTATGTCAGCGAAAACGCTCCGATCTACATGACATAAACAAATCCATAGACACATCATCCAGTGAGTTAAAGAAAGTTTTAACGACGATTGATTATAATTTTTGCATGAAAACATTAAATAAATTAGTAAATATAACGTACGCAAAAACAAACATATAGAAAAATATTAAAAATTAACGACCAAATCAAATGTCAAACATCCGCATCATTGCCAGTACCAAAAGCAACCATTGACAAACACAGATCATGGATTAATAGCGTTCTATAATCTATAATAAAAACACAGAAAGGTGGATGCTGTGGCTCATTGACATCTTCCTCTATCTTCCATTAAAAATTAAAATGCCGATGCTTCTTAACACCTGAGGAATAATGAAACAAAAATGGCTCGCTGCCATTATAAATACCTCCTTGCCATCTTTTATAAAATATGTTGATATTACTTTTTTTACGCTAATATATTAGTAAGAAAACAAATTTATAAAATACTGTTACGAGCTTGAGGTTCGTGACAATAAAAATTGCCGATAAAATTACCTAAATTAACACTTTAATTTTCTTTACACAAATTTAAACTTAAAACACTAATAATTAATCACACTGATTCACTTTATTCCGCTCCGAAGCTTCGCTTGTCTCGCCGAATTCAATACTTCCTCGATCGCACCTTGCAGCGCCTATAAATACACATTAGTACCGAATCATCCAGAACATTCAAGTAAATACGCGCACCAATCGACAAAGCGTCGAAAGTTCGAGAGTCAGCTTCCAGAAGCTTAGTTCTTCAGTTCGATACTAGATGGCGCTGTCGGTTGAAAGATTAGTGATGTCATTTTCTGGAAACCTCTCCCCTCGCTCCGTTACCCGACACTAGATGGCACTAGTGCCAGATGTCAACTTAGCCACACAATACCATATTATATTGCAGATTGAGATGGTAATTCTGAAGGCTGAAATCTCTATCAAAGCTGATGTTAATAAAATGATTTAAAGATTAACGATAAATAATTATGATATATCGCTCTGATTTGTACATTATCTCGCAACTTATATTAAAGTGTAAAATGTTTGTTTATTTTCTTGCGAATTTACTTTTTACTTTTATTTATTTT